ACTTATAAATATAGGTATTATACAATCGCCCGTAGCTATGAACACTCCCGTAAATGCGAAAACCAACCAAAATCATAAGGAACACGTTTTGTTTGTTGTTCTGTCTATTTGTCAGCCAATGTCTTCAACCACGGGGACTTGTGAAGTAGCCATCTTGGATTTTTTTTATGAAAAAGTGTTTCTCTCACTTTTTTTCATATCTGTGTACATATTCTCAACATACCGAGCAAATACTCTCGTTTTTTTGTTAATTATCTAAAGAAAGTCGAAAATCGGCAATTCAACCATAGGCTAATTCAACCCAACATTTGAAAATGTTCCACCACTTACATTTTGATGATTTTTCCTCTCATCAATAGCATATTACGTACTGTTTAATAGGATAAAAATTGGTTTGCATCCAACGCCCATAAAAGGGTGTATTCTCTAAAAAACACAGTTTTTGTGTCTAAAATGTTATCATCGAAAATGGCATTTTTGAGATTGTTTCTTCCATAAAACAGCCAAATGGCGCGATGGAAACATGATTTTTTGTCACAATCATGCCATGAATGTATTCTTTACGGTGACCATCATTTGATTAGATTTTCATTAATATTTTACATAACATGCACATTTTATCAACACTTAGACAGCTTCTGAAAGGTACAACTTTGAGGAGCCATAAAAAACAAACCAAGTGACCTAAATCTTTATACTTTATAGATTTGTGACCACAACGGCACGGGCAATGCACCACCAACAGGAAATTTGAATCAGAGAAGGGGCCGTTTTGGAAACCGGCCCTTTCCCCCTGTTCAGACTTGCATGAGCAATGGAAAATCCAGATTAAATCCCTTTATAATAAGACCACATTCGCTATCTATCATACACACACATTTGTACTTTTTATCTATTTCAAGTCAATAGTTACAATAGAGATGGGCATTGCAAGCAATGTTTGTATTTATTAGCATATGGTTAAAATTGATTAAATCTTTGACTTACTGTTATTTCTGTACAATTAGTATATAACTTTCTTTAAACCTCCAAACAAATAATTGAAAACAAATTGCAATATGTTGCCATTTCAAAATCATATTAATTTGCAGTACATAAAACATATATATACATAATTATAGTTCTAGACAATTATTTAGCCATATATTGGTACTGCAATATTTTTGCCCACCCCTAAGGAGTAAAATGCACTCATTACAGAGTATCTATCAAAGATGAACAATTTTATTTTGACAAGTCAGCAGTTTGATGGGGCAAAATTATTGTAGTTTGAGCTATATTTTCACAGTAAATGTTTAGAAATTTTACTAGTTCTCAAACAAATCTACTTAATTCTAGGGTGTTTGGCTAATGGGACATCATACATCATACCTCATCATGTAAAAATTGCATTCAAAGCTGACTACAGGCTAATCAAAGGGAGATTTTACACTTTGTCTTTAGCATTTTCATTTTTGAGTGGTATACAAATGTACAATTCTGGCAAATAGATTTATTATGTAAACAGTTCTTTCAAGTGCAGTATTTGGGAAAGATCAGGATTGAGCAAGCAAATGCATAGTTTCAGGAAAGAAAGTTGCAAGGAACAATACAAAAAACACACTGAAATATGTAGACTGCAATACAAGACCACATGCAAGACTTTAATAAGCAAAAAAAGTTAAGCGAAGTCAAATAACATAACTACTGTAGTACAGTTTAATTAATGGATTAAGTGAAGTTGATAATAAGTTGCTTGTAAGGTAAACAACTTACCTATAATAATTAAGGTATCATTAAAAAGAGAGTTACATATATAGAGTAAGCAGTGTTTTTAATTTTGAAAAACGATTTTAAATTTTAATTATATCTGTTACAGAGTTTCAGTACAGTCCAATAAATCCACTGACCAATGCCGCAAGCAGTATCACAACATTAACAAAGAGGTAGATATTTGTTACTGAAGTTAAAATAAAAAGTGATTTCTTTCATAATTATGATCATGATGTGACTGGTATAGCTATTGTCTGTTCAATTGGTAATTATAAGTTATTAATGAAATTAAAGTAAAACATACCACAGCATCATTTATACCCTAATTGTGAAGAAGAGTTCTACTAAACATTTATAGACTTGATGAAATTTCCTTCAAGGAGTTTTCTGGCTTAGTGTAAGTTTCCCCTGTCAGCTGTATCTTTTCAAAGCAATGACCATGGTAATAATATGGTTTAACCTTTTGAACCCTTTTCCTTAAAGTAAAATAGTTTGTGAATGGAATATGCCTGAATTTCATGTAAAAATATTTCATTTTTAATTTATATACAGATAAACAGATGTATATATATTGTATGTATATTCCATTCCGGGAATGTATGCTTATTTCGTGGTGAAAATATATGTATGTCACATCAATTTTGTTGTTGGCATAAAGAATACTGAGAAAACAATGCCAACTTTCCAGTTTTTCTGTATAAATATAAAAACCTGGTACATCAGTACATATATATGGTAAGTTGCATAGAATTGATGCAGTACTGAGGAAAAATCACCTTGTTATGTTTAAGTGTAAAGGCCTTGTTAAAGTTCATGGTAGGCAAAATTCTTGAATATTGGTTTATGTTACATTTCACCATTGTTACACTCAGTGATATATATATATATATATATATATATTATGGCAGTTAAGGAAAGACATGATGATGCCAGATATCCTAAAACTGGAGGAGGCCCCCCTGCATCCTCTCCACCACCTTCCCAGAAGTTGCTTTGGGAGTGGATGTCCACCCGCCCAGGGATTCGAGCCATAACCCAACCTCTTGACACTGAAGGTAAAGATAAGTGTATATTATAGTGCAAAAAGCCCAAGAGTGATTGAATGTCCCTCGTAAATGACTTTGACTTAGTTTCAAAGTCACCGAGTCATAAATGTTAAGCTATAATTTGTTTCTTTTATATTAAGTATGATCAAAGGTGACCATAGTTTGTAATGATTAAAAGCTTAACAAATATTCTCAAGTATAGTGAGTCCATTCACTGTAATTTTTGGCAATATTTTCTCATATACATGACCTTGACTATTTTTCATGGTCACTGGGGTCATTTGGTCACGTATATCTTGCAAAGGTCTGAGATTTCCATCATATTACCTAAAGCTGCTTATTTTTATGTAGTGTCTAAGTATTTTCATAAGATTGGAAAAATCCAGATTCAATTCCTTTGTTTGTGGCTCACAAGCCTGTTACTGTATTGATATTCAAGTTTGGCATATGAATATCGACTAACATAAGTAAATATAATTAGAAAGCAAATTCTATGTAGTGGATAATTTTTATATTTCTTTCAAAAATGGATCCAAATTTTTGCAAAGTGCAAAGTCACCCTGCAAGCCCAGATTTTTCTGTGGCAAGCAGGGATGGAGAAGCTGTAGAGAATACAGTCCCTGGCCCAAGTGGAGCTGCCTTAGGTAAGTGTACATGTTCAAGCTGAGGTAATAATTGGAAAAGTGAAATATATTTCTCTTCACATTCAGATAGCAGTCATATCAGCCATGAATGCCAAAGGTTGCCGACATAGTATAAGCATCATTATTGTAATGCTGGACATGAACATACACTCTACATACATGCGTTAAATTTCATTATAATATGACTGGTGCTTATTCCCAGCCCTGATTGGAGGAGCGACGTCATGTGACGAGTCTGTAAATATGTTACAGACCTTGTTCTATGAATAGAAAAGTGTTACAGACTGCTACTAAAAATAGACCTGGGTAATTTCACAGCCAGTCTGTAATTCTGTTACCAATCACACTACTGAATTCAACTGACCTGAAGTCCATAATTGTATATAGAGGGACTTTCATTTTGAATAAAAGTTATTTTATATTAAAGACTACAAAAAAACAGTATCTCCATATGTGTTATTATTGTAACTGACTGCTGCAAATAATCTTGTGCTCAATAATTCCAGGTTTTACTCAGGAACCAGCTGCCAAGAGGCAAAGAAAGAACAACAAAAACGAAAAGACATCATTATCTGAAGAAAGGGTGGTACTAAAGTTGGAGGCAGAGCGTGCCGTAGCTGAGAAGAGGAAACTCGATTTGGAGTGCACTCTTCTTCAGCAAAGAATAAAGCAAGAGAAAGAAAAACATGAGAAAGAGATGATTGCTTTGTATGATAAGAATGAGAGACACCAAGCAAAACTCGAGTGTATCCTTTTGAAGAAGAAAGTGCTCAGTGAAGAATTAGAATCGCTTCTAAATAATGCTGTGCTGCAGCATGCACTTTCTTCCTGAAAAGGTTCTCTCATTTTTATCATACAAAAACCATGTGACCCAAAGAAGGAATAAATACTAAAAATATCTGTATAAGAATATTGTATTGTATATATTGCTTTTAGTGCAAAGACTTAAGAAAAATACATTGGCAACCATATGTTGTTTTCAGATCATTTCAATTCAAACATAAACACTTTTATGGTTTTCCTATATGATTATATAAATAATTTATGATTTTTTTATATATATATGCACAAATAGAAAATCAATTACCCAGTAGGTATATTGAGCCAAAGTATCCAAAACAAAATGAATTGGACGTTACTGTATGCATAAAACACTATATGGTTGCAATGGTTTTGCATTTTCATGTTTGAAGGTTGAAGGAACNCAAAATGACAAATATTATAGGGAATGTTAACAGTTTGTTGATTAGTTTCACTAGTAATAAATCTGCATTGTTTTACATACTAACTACCACCAATCAGAATGCTTGCTCATCAAATTGATTTTAAGGAGAAGCCAAAGTGAATTATTGATGTCTTCAATCTCTATGCTTGCAATAACATATTTTCTCAAGTATGAGATGTTAATATAAACTAAATACTATTGGAACTACTTTTTCGACATGAGATTTGTCAATGCCCTACTACATCACATTAAATTTTCATTGAGAAATTGCTGTCAATACTACTGTTAGGAGTGAAACAAATATTATGAAAGACAATTTGATGAGAAAGCATTCTAAAAGAAAGACGTACAGATGTGGTCCCTTGTAGCGTTGCCATCATTTACACCATTAAAACTGATTGGGTGGTCTCCTACGTTTATAATATGATCATCGTCAATGTTGATAATGTCATTTTGGTATATGCCAATATTGTGCAAAACTGCACATGCTGTTATGATTCTTGCTGCCTTGTTGGGGTCAACTCTAAGACCAGAGTGAAGACAAGCAAACCTCCTTTTCAGGATTCCATATGTCTGCTCAATCCTCACTCTGGTCTTGCACAAAGCATTATTAAACCGCTGTTGTTGTGGTGTTGTTGGATTATTGTACGGGGTCATCAGGAATCTTCTTGTTGGATATGCAGAATCTCCAAGTAGTATTCCATTGTATTGACCTGGAAAAGTGTTATTATGAAGTGGCAGTGAGTCTATGGTGTGGTGCAGCATTCATCATCAATCACACTACTTTATTAGTTTCTTAAATATCCTGATGAAATGTATTCACCTTAGTAAGTAGTGCTTATATTTTATAGTTGCAATTATTCTACAATTTATTATAATTTTTTCTTTTTTCTTTTTGATTACCTATGTTCTAGGTATGGGCTGGGAAGCCAGTGAACACAGATGGCTATGGCTTCAACAACAAGCTTGTCATCATCATCATCATTGTCATCATCGATCAGCATCATCATTATACGAAGTTAGGGAGGGGGGTATACTGGAATCACCCTCTCTGTCTGTCTGTCTGTCTGTCGTCCACAGAAACTTCTCCGGAAAACGTCTCCTTAACTAATAGGTGGATTTCATGAATGATCAGTATCTTATATGTAGTTGTGCACCGGCATTTTAATTTGGGATTTCGACCCTTTTTGGTGGAGTTATGCCCCTTTGTGCGAAATACTTGTTACTGGTGGTAGACTTTCGATTGCTTTGCAATGCTTTGTCTTAATAAGCCTTTAACTTACAGTTCTGGTTTATATAGTAGCGGGGGTATTAGTTAGCCTTTAGCTTACAGTTCTGGTTTGTATAGTAGTGGGGGTATTAGTTAGCTTATACCATGGAGCAGTGTCCATTGTCTTTCCATTTGTCCGTCAACTTTCCTAAAACATGTTACTTGTCCTGAAAGGCTTATATTAGTGAGCCATAACTTGTAAAAGGTTGAGTTCCCTACCCCATAACCATATATACATTTTACAGACATAAAGCGATAAAGTCATAGTGAAATATTTTACACTGGAGTCTGGTTCCACCCCTTGGGACTTAAGTATTTTGTCATTATTTTGAAATGGTTGAATTCCCACCCAATAACCATATATATCATTGTTGGACTTCAAGAGATAAACACAATCATGATATTTGTATCGACTCTTGTATCTGGGGCAACCCCGGCGCCCTTGCACTGGCGACTTAATTTCTGGTCTATAACTTTGATATGGTTGAGTCTGAGGTGCCGAACAGATAGCCATACATGTACATACTGTATATACCACTGGGCCTCTTGTTTTAAATAAATGCTAAATTATTTTTGATAATTAAGTACTAACTTGAATATGTTTTTAGCTCACCTGGTCCGAAGGACCATGGTGAGCTTATGCCATATCGCAGCGTCTGTCATCCGTCCGTCGTCTGTCCGTCAACTTTTCCTTTTAAACGCTACTAGTCATGAACGACTGAGCAGATTTTGACCAAATTTGGTCAGAAGCATCCTTGGGGGAAGGGGAACAAATTTTGTATAAACGGTGGGTCTGGCCCCCAAGGGGCCTGGGAGGTGGGGCCCAATAGGGGAAACATAGCAAATTGTTTAAAATCCTTCTTCTTCTGTAGGAATGAAAAAAATTGGTCCATATTTGGTCTAAAGCATTATTGGGCAAAAGGGACTCAATTTCGTATAAACATCGAGTGTGGCCCCCCTGGGGGCAGAAGGGAGGGGCCCAATAGGGGAAACATAGCAAATTCTTCAAAATCCTTCTTCTTCTGTAGGAATGACAGGATTTTGTCCAAATGTGGTATGAAGCACCCTTGGGTCAAGGGGAACCAATTTTGTATAAACGGTGTGTCTGACCCCCTGGAAGCAGAGAGGCAGGGCCCAGTAGGGGAAATGGATGAAAAACCTTTAAAATCCTTCTTCTTCTATCGGGATTAAGGGATTTTATCCTAATTTATTCTGGAGCATCCTAATGGGCCAAGAGGACTCAATTTTGTATAAGCAGTGGGTGTGATCTCCCAGGGGACAGAAGGGCGGGGCCCAATAGGAGAAATAGAGGTAAAACCTTTAAAATCCTTCTTCGACCATCAGGATTAAGGGATTTTATCCTAATTTAGTCTGGAGCATCATTGGGTCAAGGGGACTCAATTTTGTATAATTGGTAGGTATGACCCCCCTAGGGGCATAGGGGTGGTGCTCTGTTTGAAATTTGTTCTCGCTATATCTCAAGTACTGGATGGATCTTTCTGAAATTTCATATGTACTTACAGCACCTACCATGGAGTGCTATATCTTAACTTCATTCCAATTATTTTAAACATATTCAGGTGAGCGATACAGGCCCTCTGGGCCTCTTGTTTATGTTATGGAGGTATAACACAAAAAACGGAGTGTACTCTAAATAATCCACGAAGCCTTGGACAGCTATCAATTTGCATAATTTTGAGTCAATTCAACCCTACCCGTCTCAAATTTGTTGTTGATGTTGCTATCCCGAAGCATCCTAGAATCGTGGCAGCTTCCTGGCCATTTGCACACGCAGCTTGTTATTTTATAGCTTGCATCACAGGTCATCTGAATACATGTATATTATTTACATACTATTTAACTAACAGATTTAATTATCAGAGTCCGATATGATTTCGCAGGAATGAAGCGATTCCAGTTTTAATTAAAAGGCATATATTAAAGTGATTATACTAGCACTTTAGAGTTTTAGAATTCGGTTAAGTCAAATGCAGTACCTGGCAATTCAGGGAAAGGAAACCTTTCCTGTTAACAAAATCCTGCTCGTCCTCCTTTGGTGCTTGTATTCTGACGAAGACGCCATCGATACATCCTGCTACATTTGGAAATCCTGGTTTTTAAAGATATGAAAGCAAAATATTATACAATTATGGACTTCAAGTGAGGTCTACCCATGATTTACAAACCTAGTCTGAACATTATTCACTGAAACGGAAGTCCACAAATATTTTATTATTTTACATTTTACAATGACAGGCTCTTACCAACGAAGTTTTCTGCCAAATACCATGACTCTAGGCCTGTCCATTCTTCAGAAGAAGTCGTGTCATGACATAATAATAAAGCTCACAAGCCCTTCGGGTAGGTGAGCTAACAACCAATACAGTGATCAGCACTATATTTTGATTGATACATGTATGCAATACAATGAATGCATTGGGAACTAATTACATGTAAGCGTAGCCCCTTGATATTGATTGATTGATAGGTTTTACGTCGGCTTCACTACCGAATAGTTCGGTTATCCAGCAGACGAACCCCTTGATATCGAGGATGAGAGCTGGTATAGCCGACTCACCTCTGATTACTTCACATCACAACAATACTGGTACATTATATGAAGTACAGGGATAACCAGGTAGGGTCAGGTAGAATAAAGACCAGGTGATCATCAACCTTACTGGTCACATGCTAACAGTTTGACAATAGGAATCGCCTATTGTTTAGGGTAGCAAATTCGAAATCAGTGGTTTTTGAGCAACGCAACACCCTTGGGCCTAGAGTTTTCGACATTGTTGGCTAGGGGAAGCCATAGAAAACATTGGTTCAACTTTAAAATGATAAATACACATATGAAAAGGAAAATATCTTAAAAATATTTTGTTCATATTAATTTTGGACACAGAATAAATGTGTTTCCCATACAAAACCCCTGCATCCGCCACTGATTAAAGAATATTAATTGTAAATGAAGATTAGTATTCAGTAGAACGAGGAATAGTGATAACGATAGTGCCGTCACTGGGGCTTGAACTCACGACCCTTGGCTCTACAGCCCGATGCTCTACCGCTGAGCTAAAGTAAATTCCCTAAGCCGACACTTGTAAGGCAACCTAATCAATGCACATCTTTCCAAGCATATTATTTAAGGTAATAGGATTGTGTCGCCATTTCTCAGTAGAATTTCTTCAAATTTTGTATTATATTGTTTTGAAGGACAAAAAAATTTCTGCCACAAAAAAAATATAGGTTGTCATAATTTTAAGGAATTTAAATGAAAATTTATGTAAAAAGGAGTGACTTTTGAAAAAAAAAATGAAAGACTCAATTTTTGGCAAAATAATGTCAATAAAAATGATACTACTATAGATTAGTATTGCATTAATATATATCAATTTAATAAATGCTGAAATTATGTCAAATAAATTATCTATAAACGATTAAAAATTGACATTTTATAATAAAACCATATGCACATAGTAATTGCAGGTAAGAGTTATCTTCCTTGAAAAACTTCACAGTAGTGAAATAGGTAGCCGGTTTCCTGAAGTACAGAAAAATGGATACATGTAGCTCATTGGTAAAAAAAAAACACCTGAATTAATGCCTGCATTGCCTTGAAATACATTAATATTGAGAGAAAACACTGTTCTGTCAATAATAAACATATAATATTCATCAGTTTAATATTAAACATTTGAATATGCGGAAATTGTGATACTGTCTCCCTACATTGGATTTTCAACTAGGGATGTACTTCCTACGTCCGTTAATCAATACATTCCTATGACCTAACAGATAGTCTGATGTCAATCGGCTTCCGTTTTTAGCTCACCTGGCACGAAGTGCCAAGTGAGCTTATGCCGTGGTGCGGCGTCCGTCGTCCGTCCGTCCGTCCGTCCGTCGTCCGGCGTCAATATTTTACTTTAAACGACTTCTTCTTAATAACCGAAAGGCCTAGGGTGATGATATTTGGCCAGAAGCAAACTGGGATGAAGGGCTACCAAGTTTGTTCAAATAAATGAACTTCGTCTATTTTCAAGGTCACAGGGGTCAAATATGTTAAAAACTTTAAACACCTTCTTCTCAATAACCAAACTGTCCAGGGAGATGATATTTGGTCAGTAGCATGCTAGGGTGAAGGGCTACCAAGTTTGTTCAAATGAATGACCTTCAATTATATTCAAGGTCACAAGGGTCAATTGTCTTAAAAACCCTTTAAATAACTTCTTCCGAATAACCAAAATGCCCAGGGTGGTGATATTTGGCCAGTAGCATGCTGAGATGAAGGGCTACAAAGTTTTTTCAAATGAATGACCCTCACCCATTTTCAAGGTCACAGGGGTCAAATATGTTAGAACCTTTAAACAACTTCTTCCGAATACCCAAAATGCCCAGGGGGGTGATATTTGGCCAGTAGCATGCTGAGATGAAGGGCTACAAAGTTTGAGCAAATGAATGACCTTATCCCATATTCAAGGTCACATGGGTCAAATATGTTTAAAACTTTAAACAACTTCTTCCGAATAACCAAAATGCCTAGGGTGATGATATTTGGCCAGAAGCAAACTGGGATGAAGGGCTACCAAGTTTGTTCAAATGAATTACCTTCACCTATATTCAAGGCCATAGGGGTCAAATACGTTAAAAACTTTAAATAACTTCTTCTCAATAACCGAAATGCCCAGGGTAATGATATTTGGCCAGTAGCTAGCAGAGATGAAGGGCTACAAAGTTTGTTCTAATAAATGACCTTCACCCATATTCAAGGTCGCAGAGGTCAAATATGTTAAAAACTTTAAATAACTTCTTCCGAATAACCAAACTGTCCAGGGAGATGATATTTGGTCAGTAGCATGCTAGGGTGAAGGGCTACAAAGTTTGAGCAAATGAATGACCTTTAATTATATTCAAGGTCACAAGGGTCAATTGTCTTAAAAACCCGTTAAATAACTTCTTCTCAATAACCGAAATGCCCAGGGTAATGATATTTGGCCAGAAGCAAACTGGGATGAAGGGCTACCAAGTTTGTTCAAATGAATGTCCTTCTCCCATATTCAAGGTCGCAGAGGTCAAATATGTTAAAAACGTTTAACAACTTCTTCTCAATAACCGAAATGCCCAGGGTAATGATATTTGGCCAGAAGCAAACTGGGATGAAGGGCTACCAAGTTTGTTCAAATGAATTACCTTCACCTATATTCAAGGTCATAGGGGTCAAATACGTTAAAAACTTTAAACGACCTCTTCTGAATAACCATTGGTCCCAGGATGTTGATACTTTGCAAGTTGCATCCTGAGATGAAAGGCTATAAAATTTGTTCGACTTTCAATCACAGGGGTGAAATGTTTAAAAAAAATTAACCGGGTCTTTTGAATCAATTTTAATCATAAATACTGATATTTTGCCTGTAGCTTTATTTTAGATCACTTTTAAGGTTACAAGTGTGAGATTTACACCAGGTGAGCGATGCAGGCCCATTGGGCCTCTTGTTTTAACAAAGCACCTGCTCCTTATAGATCTATAGTAAAGCCAATATTATGACGTCATGGATAACAATATCATGACGTCAAAAGCAAGTGAAGATGAGCACTTACTTATGGATTTTAACAACGTGTGGAAAGAGATCACCGCACTTGAACCACCTTCGCTAGCCAAGGGTTTATGATCCGGTACAATCCGGTTACCTTCTCCACTATCATACTGAAGAGTAGGTAGAGCGGATCGTACCAAATCGTAAACCTTGGCTAGTGAAGATGCACTTGAACAACGTGAATATTATTACTCAAATTCAATAAAACAAACATTTCTGATATCATTATGATCCAACTGTGGAAGTACATTTGGTCATATGTTAACACACAACAATATTTAAAAAATGAAATGCCAATAAACTTGTGAAACGGCAAGTCTTTCATTTATTCTTGTTGTATTCTATGTTGAGACTTTGTAGTTCATCCAGTTTTGATCATATTTGGCACAGCCAGAAGGTTACCTTTTAAATGGTACTTTTTCAAATAGTTATGACAAAAATACATTGTGTCCTATCCTATTGTATGCTAATTACTTGTACGTCAACAGCAATACATCTTTTGATATTGAGCTACAAATAATCGTATTAATAATTGTTACCAGTTGGAAGTCTTTCATGACTTATATCACAGTTAAAATAAACTCCATTCTAGAAACGGTCTAGAAACAAGTGCCCCTGTTTGTACGTTTTTCAGCTCCGACAGTTATTGGGATGGCGGTCTTCAAAATCTACCTCCGCCTAAACCTGTTTGATCGCAGGGAAACAAAATTAAACCTCTTGCATTGATCGAGATGAGGAAATGAGTTCATAACATAATTGTACTCTCCGTAACTTACCTGCAATGTCATGGAATGCCCGTTGCACCGTGGCTAGTGTTTGTCCAACTGGAAAAACTATCCAGTCCTGGCCAAGTCTGCATATTGCATCGCTTACGTTATCGATAGCTCTCCCTACAGATGCTTTTGTAACACCAAGTGTTTCACCGATACAATTGTAGAATGCAACTGTAGCAAAAAAACGTAAAGCGCAAAGAAGCTGCATAATTGGCTCCAGTGGTTTATTCCTCAATGTTGGCCTCTCAAACGTTGCAGCAATAAGGCCCAGAACAAAATAAATTGTAGGTGGTCTAAACCTATATCTTTCAAAATGGGTTTAAGAAGTTTCGAGAGAATGGGTTTAAGAAGTTTCGAGATTCCGGGGCCTGGTTGTATATACTTTTGTGTGCTACTATTGGGACCAACAACCGTAATCTAAATTTTAAGGTAAGGGGGTTTTGCTTCATTATCAGCATCTTATTGGTTTTAATTTCACTCTTTTGCAACTTGGTACAAAAAGGTAGAATTAAGCATAAAACTTTTATAAAACCTTTCTTTCTTCATTTATTTACTTACTATATTATCAATAAGTTCAGGGTTGTGATTTTCACGTTGGTTTTAGAAACTAGAAAAATCAGACAGCAGTTTTGGCTTTAACTAAATAAACTTTCTCTTTACACGCCGATTACCTTTTTTGGGGGGGAGGGGAGATTATCAAAAGAAGTATTTATTGGCACCTCTATAACATCGTCAACATTTTTGCATACGCTTAGAGAGATTGAAATTTGGTTTGTTTCTAAATAAACGCTGACTCGTAACTTTGTTGTCACTCTCCGCATTAGGATAGCGCATCCAACGTCACACTAACCGTATTATCATCAAGCCCTCAGGTACACAACACATCAGACCTTTGCTTCATAAAAGTGTTTCAAACATGTGTTCACATTCCTGTGTCATCAATATATATATAATTATATACTAATTATTATGTGGTTTCTTAGTTTAAACATATTTCATTGTACAAATATACAAATGGATTGAACAACAAGTTATTACAACTTAATAGAGTCCTCTCCTCAATACATATGGTAAAAATAGTGAATATGTTTTTTGGGAAAGGGTAAAAGATAGGGTGGAGAAGGACAGGTGGGGTGGGAGGGGTGGGGGTGATGGAGGGGAGGGGTGTTACCTAGAAAAATAAACGTGTAAACTGTGAAATCGATTTGCATTTGAATAAATTAAAAATTATACGAATTTCGTGACATGCATCCTCATAGAGTAACTTCAAAATGAACAGAATCAATGTAACAAAGAAATCAGGCAAAATAATGAAATGCAATTTCATAAACACATATAACAACTTGCACATAAATAAAAATAGAAAAGTAATTATAACTATCAAAACCTATTGCTGGATTTGATGTAATGATGCACATGTCTAAAGATACTTATGTTGTTTTCTACCGAAAGTTGACTATTACCAAATTAAAGTAGTTCTAAATTAAAATCAACACGCAAGGCATTCACATTTTGCAGCAGGGTGTGTCTTTCGTTGTTAAAAAGTAATGGCCACAATCACAAACTGGACTATCAACCAGGTTTACTCTAAAAAGATCATATTTAAGTGGACTACACTGATGTCTAAGTTTAGTGTGCAAAATGTTCAATTTACGTTCACCGAAACCTAAGTAGATTGGTGGAGGAGATTGTACATTTGATGTTAACGAGTTTTTAAAAGAATGTAATGAAGTCAATGGCGGTACTGAAAGGTCCAATGAATTCCGACCGCGAAGAGTTGAAGGTATAAAAGATGAATTTGTTAGAGAAAGCCTGAAAGGACGAATGCTATAATCATCATTGTTTCTAAGGACGTAACGGTTATTTTCTGCAACTGAAGATGGCAATAGAGAATTTGAATAGTCCCGAGTTAATTTGTTGTGCATTTTATACAAAGGTTGGAGTTTTCTGCGTTTTCTTCTATTCGAAAGAGTTTCTAGACCAGTTTCAAAAAGTAAGTCTTCAATTCGGGCATATGAAGGAAGACCAGTTATAATACGAGAAGCTTCTCTTTGGGCTTTCTCTAACATTTCTGTTTCATAAGTTGTACAACCATCCCATAATCCACAAGCATATTCTAAAACTGGTAAAATAAATGATTTATAAATCTTTAAAAGATTATCTCGATTTAATAAGTATTTTAGTCTACGTAAGACGCTGACTTTTTTTCATAACTTAAGTATATATTGCACAAATATGATCCCCCCATTTTGCACTTGAATTAAAAATTACACCTAAATGTTTATGCTGATCAGTAAAATTAAAAATTCGCCATTAAATTCTAATTGTAAATCTTCATTAATTTCAACTAAGTTTGAAACAAAAATTACCTCAGTTTTTTCTGGGTTGAATGTTACTAACCAAGTTTGGGACCATGCATTAAGAGACTCGAGATCTCTATTCAAGACCGGTTGGATTTCTATAGACATGAAGAGAATGATTTTAACAACGAAGTGTCGTCTGCAAAAAGACGAGAGTTTGATTCAAACACATCAGCAATATCATTAATATAGATAAGAAACAAAAGAGGTCCAAGAATCGAACCCTGAGGAACACCTGCTTCAATGAAACCGAAGTCGGAGTAAGAATTATTCAAAAAGACTCTCTGGTGCCTCTGAAATAGGTAATTTTCAAACCAATGATACAATTCCATAGGATTTTAACTTAATCATCAAACCCGTATGTCAAACACGATCAAAAGCCTTAGAAATATCGCAGAATACCATACATACATGTTTTTCCCTCTAGAGCAATACAGATGTTATGATAAATTTTAATTGGATAATTTATAATCAATTTGATGTATATTTTATGTTATATCGTTAATTTATCTACTGATGGAAAAAATATGATGTTTCTTGAATATCTATTTTGTCATGGCAATTTTTCAATGTCTTGACAAGTATTTCCCACAATCGTTCTTTTTTCTCATCCTTATTGTTTATACACATTCCTATGTATACATTGTAGGTAATCGCTCTTATGTTTTATCATGAAATATACTGATCATTGTTTCAATTATAATCGTGAAAGCAAGCAATGGAATGCATTTTGTCGAAATGCATTTTTATCTAAATAATATATCAACATATTGATTATCTTGCATGCTATAATTTGATACATTATTTTGATAATTTATAAAAACATATTGGTTTGGTTATTTTGTATTTACCTGTTCAATTGTATCTTTATCGATGGCTTACCTTACTGAAATTTCCAGATTTCGTTAAAGAGTTGTCTATCCTTGCATGGAGTTTGAAACTGTTGGCAGTACAGGGAAGTTTGGTATGAAGCTGTTAAGAAAAGCTTAAAATTACTTTAAAGAAAAGTTTATTATGACTGTCATGGAAATATTGTTATAAATAATAAGGTAAACTTATTGTTACTACTTGGTGAAGCCTATACTGACTGTTTTGGGAAGCGTAATATGCATGATACTACGGTGGCTGATTTGCGCCATTTCGTTGGTTCGTCTTTTCGCCCCGAAAGGACGACAATTAAGGACCCTTAATTCTCGTTGGTTCGTCTTTTCGCCCAGAAAGGACGACAATTAAGGACCCTTAATTCTCATTGTGTCGTCTGTTCGCCCCGAAAAGACGACATTTAGAAGTTATCCTTAAACCTCGTTCATTCAAATATGAAGACTGTTTGGTTTGGTAAAAATCTCATTTTCATTACATGTATGTATATCTTATATATGTCCTACACCTTCTCTATTTCTGTCCCTAACTCACTACCTCATCCCCATCACCCCCTTTCCTGTTTTCTTCTTGTTTAACCTAACCTACATACGTCCTTTAATTTAGCATATTTTGTTCATATCACGTGACTTATATGTAAATTGTTATCTTATGTATTCATGAAGGAGAGGACCTAATGAGTTGAAATAACTTGTGTCCAACCCTTTTGTTTAAAACAATAAAATATGTTTAAACCAAACTGTTTGGTGAAGCTTATCTATGATGGCTGTTTGGTGAAGCTTATTTATTATTACTGTTTAGTGAAGCTTATTCGTTATTACTGTTTAGTGAAGCTTATTCATTTTTACTGTTTAGTGAAGATTATTTATTATTACTGTTTGGTGAAGCTTATTTATTATTACTGTTTGGTGAAGCTTATTCATTATTACTGTTTGGCGAAGTTTATTTATTATTACTGTTTGGCGAAGTTTATTTATTATTACTGTTTGGTGAAGATTATTTATTATGACTGTTTGGTGAAGCTTATTTATTATTACTGTTTGGCGAAGTTTATTTATTATTACTGTTTGGTGAAGATTATTTATTATTACTGTTTGGTGAAGATTATTTCTTATTACTGTTTGGTGAAGTTTATTTATTTTTACTGTTTGGTATAGATTATTTATTATTACTGTTTGGCGAAGTTTATTTATTATTACTGTTTGGTGAAGTTTAGTCATTATTATTGTTTGGTGAAGCTTATTTATTATTACTGTTTGGTGAAGTTTATTTATTATTACTGTTTGGTGAAGTTTATTTATAATTACTGTTTGGTGAAGTTTAGTCATTATTACTGTTTGGTGAAGTTTATTTATTATTACTGTTTGGTGAAGATTATTTCTTATTACTGTTTGGTGAAGTTTATTTATTTTTACTGTTTGGTATAGATTATTTATTATTACTGTTTGGCGAAGTTTATTTATTATTACTGTTTGGTGAAGTTTAGTCATTATTATTGTTTGGCGAAGCTTATTTATTATTACTGTTTGGTGAAGCTTATTTATTATTAATGTTTGGTATAAATTATTTATTATTACTGTTCGGCGAAGTTTATTTATTATTACTGTTTGGTAAAGTTTATTCATTATTACTGTTTGGTGAAGCTTATTTATTATTACTGTTTGGCGAATCTTATTTATTCTTACTGTTTGGTTAAGTTTATTTATTATTACTGTTTGGTGAAGGTTTTTTATTATTACTGTTTGGTGAAGCTTATTTATTATTACTGTTTGGTGAAGCTTATTTATTATTACTGTTTGGCGAAGTTTATTTATTATAACTGTTTTGCGAAGTTTTTTTTATTATTACTGTTTGGTGAAGTTTATTTATTATTACTGTTTGGTGAAGCTTATTTATTATTACTGTTTGGCGAAGTTTATTTATTATTACTGTTTGGCGAAGTTTATTTATTATAACTGTTTGGCGAAGTTTATTTATTATTGATGTTTGGTGAAGGTTATTTATCATAACTGTTTGGTGAAGCTTATTCATTATTACTGTTTGGTGAAGCTTATTTATTATTACTGTTT